ACGGCGGCCTCCCCCTTTCCGTCTGCCTCTCTTCTTTTCTCGCCCGTTAACTTCAATATTTGGACGCATGCATTGCTTACCGCACAAGAGTTCGTTAACGCAGCGACAACACAACTCACCTGAAACAGAGAGAACAAAAGAATCGAGATTAGACGCTGTTCGCCTTCGACTGTCTCGTTCGTAAAGAAGAAGCAAAGAAATCCTCAAGACAGAGCGACGCGGGATTGTGTGCGTGCCAGGCGCGGAAAATACCGCTCGTAAAATTTTAAGGCGCGGCCTGATGTCCGCATGAATTTCGAATGTAAGGTACGCACAGGGAGAGAGGGATAGAGAGAGAGAGAGAGAGAGAGAGAGAGAGAGAGAGAGAGAAGCAGCTAGGATAAAAGCTGGGCATTTCGCGCTCCTTTCGCGTCGCCCCCACTGCAAACTTATCGGCGGGATTTTATATGCATTCGTCCCTTTTGTAGCCTGTACGTGGTTGCACTTGTTCGCTCGCGAAGCAGATAGGAGAAAATATCGCATAAACAGTGTTTATTATCGATCGCCGCAGCGAAGAATCGCGCGCACTGTCTGCACGGTCGTCACGTCGTATTAAATCCATAGCGGCATCGGTGTACAATGGTCGGCTCTCTGTCGATAGGCTGTTTGCCCAGTGGCGAGCGAAGACAATATTACCCGAGCCGTGGATGCAAACATAAGCGCGCGAGGCGAGTGAAGGGCGGCTAACTCTACTTGAATTCTTCAGTCGAGTCATCTCTCGAGGAGTCGTCGAATAAACATCGATTCGGGCGCCTCCTTAACCGCACAATGCAGATCGCAGCAGCTAGCATTGGTCAGCCGATTGGCATCGCGCCAAGACGCCGCCTCCTACCCTAACGACGACCACCAGCGACGAAATGAGGGGATCGCTGAAATTTTTCCGAGCCTAAGGAGATATGAACAAACCAGGGTTGTCTTCTTTTGACTGTTTTGATCGAGATATCGAGTGTAAAAGGTGCAAGGAGAGGACGACTCGATCGGGTTTCGATGTGTTCTGCAAATACCTCTCTGCTTCATTTTATTCTTTTGCGGGACTTTGAGGATTATTAGGGCTTCGCGTTGCTGTTTTACCTTGCGAAGCATTCCAAGTTGAATCCCGAAAAGCTTATGACCGTTCGTAAAGTGAAATCTCATGCGGAGATGAAACCGAAGCAGTCTCTAAGTGGGAGCACTGAAACGCAGTCGCATCCAGCGTATCGAGTGGAGAAGTCGCGGGGGCAGCCTCGAGATAAAAAAAGCACTTGGAATCCGAAATCAAGGTCTAGCTTTTAACGCAGCGCAGGAATTTAAATTAGAAAACCGGCTAGAGAATTCGGGGGTCGTGCAGGCTTATTTCGAGGCCACTTTATTTGGAAAGCCTCGGGCCGCGCACGATGCATTCGGCTAAGAGAGCGCCACTCGCTTGGGAAATTGCTGCTCTCTCGCTGTGGCTTCGCCTTATTCTCCCCGTAGCGATACGTCTGTGTAATCTCTTTTGTTTCGTTTCTCACCGAGCACGGCTTTGTTTTCGCTCGATGAGACGACCGAGATATCCTTCTTTTCTCTCATTGCCTTCCGGATAATTGTATAAGCGCGCCGGCTCTGCTCCCTGCACGTATTACAAAAATGTTTCGCCGTCGGCTGCAGTGCTCGTTTTAAACGCGGGGTTCTTCGACGCCACGATTCGCCTGCTGACGATACGCGTCCGCGAGGCTCGCTTGATTTCCAGCACAGCGTGTTTTTCCCCGATCGACGAACCAATGAGCTCCGCGCGAAAACGAATCCCTCTGAAAAGGCAGCTTCGACGCGCAATCCGGCGAGCTTACCGAAAAAGTCACCGGTAGGAGACGGAGTAGAAGCCGAGGAAGCCGAGAGCCCGGCGAAAATGACGAAAAATCCACGAGAGAGATGGAAAGAAAAGCGAGTGCAGGGGGACGCTGGGCTGGAAGCGTAAAGTAATTACGCGGCCGCGCGCGAGATTTCATCGAATATCGCGAGTAGGATTCTCCCTCTCTTGCTCGTTCGACTGGTATTCCCAAGCGCACGAATTACCGGCACGACGTACTTGCCCGTTGGGACTAACCAAGTCTCGACTTCGTGGACACGTCCCCGACGATCGCTTTCACTAAGCCCCACACTCTCTCTCTCTCTCTCTCTCTCCTCTCTCTCTCTCTCTCTCTCCTCTCTCTCTCTCTCTCTCTCTCTCTCCTCTCTCTCTCTCTCTCTCTCTCTCTCTCTCTCTCTCTCTCTCTCTCTCTGCGGCAGACTTCTATCTGCTTGGATGGATCTTTCATTCTTTTCATTTTTTTTAACTTTCATGTTCTATCGATTGTTTTGCAGGCTCCGCGCGTCACATATATTCTGGACGCGCAAAAGACAACACACCACGCAAACTCCGTGAGAACTATAAGCGAGAAGGCCCTCATAATAAGTAACTGTAAATATCATACGCCTGCTAGCGAGTATCCCAAGCCCCGTCATTAAAAGAGCGCGAAACCATAGCTTTTCGATGGAACAAGCGTTTTCGAGAAAACCCGTGACGATCCATCGACAAGAGAGGGAGAGAGCTATCGAATTAATCGCATCCATCGCGGATAAACCCAGAACAAAGGGCTAGGCTCGGAAAGAAAAATCTGGCAGCTTGGGTGAAAAAAGCTGCCTCTTGCGCGCGCGGGCGCCCCGAAGCAGAGTCCCGTCGTCATGCAGCTCCGCAAAAGCAGGGGGAAAAAGCGGAGATCGATCGATCGCCGCCCGACAGAGAAAGAGAGAAACGGCCGTATCACCGGACGATTCTCGTCAGAAACGAAGATTAATGACAGCACGCCAGCGCCGGGCAAATCGAGCGAAAAAATAAGAATAGCCATGGCCCCGATGTATTATGTATTGGCGCCGCCGCCACCGCCGAGGTTAAATGAAAAGCTGAGTTTAATTGTTAAATCGCCCTCGGAATCGACAATCGCAATATCCCCCTCTTGCGCGCAGAAAGAGAGTTTGATTAGCAGTAAGGAAATTAACGATGCGAATCGACGACATAATTACGAGAGGAGCGAAGCGGAGAAATTCGCGGACGAGCCTTTAACGCGCCGCACCGGGCACTCCGGCACTCGTTCCCGGAAGCGAAGATGCGCGCGACAATGAATTATCTCCTCAGAAATAAAAGCAGGCGCGCCAACAGGAGAGCTCTCGAGGCTACGCGATCATGCATCCAGCGATACTGCCCCTTTTAGCTCATTGTTCTCCCCGGCCGTTGATCCTTTCCATATCGAGGGACCGTGGGCCGAGTTTACTTGAATTTCGGTTGCGGCGGCCACTTCAAATTATTATCTGTTCGAGTGAATGATCGGGAAAGTGAACTTGAGCGGCAGTCCATAGGCGATATGGAAACGATAAATACACACATGTATTACCGTCGTCGCTTCGATTATCAGGTTCTCGATGGGAAACATCTGCTGTAAAAAGCTGAACGAGCTCAAGGCAACTTTCTCGTACAATTCGTTCCAGCTTTGTTCTCGCCTGTCGTTTTTTCACGCGTCGGCACTTGACACTCGCTAACTTTCGCGTCGAGCGTACAATTTGCAAAGTGTGACAATCGCGAAACTCGACTGGTACAAGCTGATAAGCAGAGCGCGTCTATCGGCGTTATCCGAAGGTCCAAAACAAAACGAGCCGGACTTTGGCCGAGTCGGAGAAACGGCCAGACCGGGAAAAGGGCAAAATTTGTCGAGTGTGTCTCATTAAAGGCATCTCGTCGGCAGCGACGAAAGCGAAAGTCGAGCGAGGGAGAGGGGAAATAGATGCGCGCGCAGAGGCGCTCGTGCCTCATTAAAAATGTAATTTACAGTAGTCGCGCGCGGTGAAAAGTGCACAACGCAGCCAAGCGCAAAGTCAAAAGTGCTTTAGAAAAAGAAGAGGTAAGGCGAGCAGCAAGCAAGCAAGCCAGTAAAGGGAAGAAAGCTCGGTGCTCGGCCCTGCCCCCCGCCGTTACTTTAGCTCCGCACTTTCCGCGCGTATCTCGCCCGCGTTCCGCCCACTTTACCGAGTAGAAGCCACGGCGCGATGTCTCCCTCGGACTACATTAGCGCAAAAGGTTGCGCGCAATAGCGGAAGTTCAGCCGATTGCCTTGCCTTGAGAGAGCCGAGCGTCTTATTTGGCTGGAGCTCTCTCGCGGGGACACAGTGCTTGCCGCGTGCTTTTTTCTCCTGAAATTTGAATTTCTAAAATCTCGAGCGACATTAACGTTACGAGCTTTATTGACTGCACCGCCGCGGCGCACTCGAACGGGGCTCCAGGTGCGCGCGAGAGTTCTTTTATTGCCGCGGAGCTTTCCGTGAAATTGCCACGACGTGATTGTATTGCACGTGCGAATGTTTAGCAGGCCCTCCCTCGGCGTCAATCATTGTCGTTGGCGTCGGTCGCAGTGCGCGACCTTGCGAATTGTCGATGAAAGTACCGTGGCAGGCTCAAACTTGCGGAAAAGCTCGTCAGGGAATAGGGCGAGCGAGAGCTAAACAAGCGCGAGCGGCATTAAAAATTGCCGCGGCCCGATTAACTCGGCAGCGCTTGCTTATGCTTAAAGGGCGGAGAAGCTGGCGGTGCAACTTTTCGGCGAAGCTGAATTTTTAAAGTATCTCGTTCAACAAGTTTCTCTCGCGGAACGAGTCGTTAGATGGAATTTCGCTTTTGCGGTCGCGCTCGCAGTAGCAGCGAAACTTCCGCGGCCAAAGCTTCTGAATATTTCATGCGTAAATCTGATATCTTTCAAGACTTGGTTAGGCTGCGTGTGTCCCTTTTGCGACGCGAGCGCCGGAAAAATCCTTTGCCTCACTCTCAATTTGTATACGGCGCACTTTTGATTGTTCTCCGAAGCTAACTTTGAGCGCTGCTCTAAGCTGCGAGCATAAAAACACTTGTGAAAACAAAGCGTAGCGACGCGACGATCAAAGACCAAATCTCACAACGGCTCGTGTCCCAACCAATGGAAACCTGCCAGAGAAGCGCGACACTGCCGCGGGATGCTCTGACCTAAAAACTCTTCACTGTCTCCCTCGAATTAATGCGTTATTATACGACAAGTTCCCTCCCCCGTCTCTGTCTGGCACGCTGCCGAATCGCTGATATCGCACCTCGCCGACGAGCGAGCGAGCGAGCGAGCGAGCGAGAGAGAGAGAGAGAGTCAATCTCGCTAATTTGTAAGCGCCCAGGCATCGTCGGCTTTTAATTGAAAATATCCCTGCGACGCGCTTGATAAGCGAGCTTTTGTTTGACAGCTCTCTCGCAGAGACAGCCGAGCTTTTTGCAGCCATTCATAACAGACAATTTTATCGTTTCCTTTTGTTCGCCTAAGCCTTCGGAAATCGACGATGTAACCAAGCGCGCACATAAGCCCGGCGGTATTCGGCGTGGCGTGCAGTCTGACCAGCTGTGACTGATGCGCGCTACTAACGAGATTATCTTCGAAGCTTCTAGGCCAATGATTATTACAAAGTCGCGTCTACGGCAAAACATATAAATCGAGCGGTCGCGCGACAACAGCCGATATCGATTGTTTCATCCGGTAATTAGCCGAAGCGCCGGCGAGTTATCGCGCGATCGTCGCCGCTCCGGCCGCCAGAGGGCGTTATGCTTAATTGATTAACGTGGCGGCGCTGCCCGAATGATAATTATCCGTCGAACGTACGAACGATCGCTATCCGTGCCTCGTGGCTTTTCATTTACCACCAGATCTCGCGCTATCTCTCTGTCTCCGATTCTCCCGTCGATTCGCTCGAGCTGCTTGCGATTTCGCGAAAAACGCCCCGATTTATTCCCATTGTTGCTCGCGCACGGTAAAGATTCTTCCAGGTGCCACGCGAATAATATTCGAAACAAACAACGGAATTACCGCGCCACGCTGTGGCTTCAGTCGATTTAAATAACGAACCGCGCGGCGAACAAAGATATTAGCATTCCTGGCTTTAATGATATGCGCTCTTATTTTCCCTCGCCAAACGACAGCAAAATTTAATACTTCGCAACGTTTATATTTTTTCAACTTACTTCATTTGCTGGATTACCCTTTATCCAGAATACACAACATATTAATTCACTCTCGTACGTTTGCCACATACACGCTGCATCGAAAGTAGATAAACTATCCGTGCTAACAAAAAAAAAATCATAAATACCAATATTTCTTTCCTTTCGTTTACTCCATTCCTTGTTTTTCCCACTCCCCATATCTACGATCTCGAGAACAAACAAAACAAAAAATTACAGTCCAGTCGTAAATTCTATTTCCTATCGGCCTCTTGCGTTTCCTTTTTTTTCCTTCTGCCCCGTCCGCCTCATTTTGTTTTTAACTCGGCCACTAAATCCCAGCGCGCGCTCTCTCTCTCTCTCTCTCTCTCTCTCTCTCTCTCTCTCTCTCTCCTTCGTGCAATAGGTTTGGAAGTGGTTGCTGCTGCCTCAAAATCGATTTTAACCGAATGGCAAATATTTGAGAACCAAGAGACTTTATTGCCAAAGCCCGCCTCTACTACTTTCTGTTTATTCGATTCTTTGACGACAACACTTGCGCACTCATATTCTTTTTTCAAAGAAACGAAAAATGATGGGAGATAAAATGGTAAAAGGGCTTCTCACCTACATATTTTTTTACCAGACCTTGCGCATAGTCAGCAATCATTGCTATACTCCTTCTAAGCACACGATAGCATTCTCTACGCCTAGAGAGTAAAGCACCTTGCGCATGCGTGTGATACGCTTTTTACGTTTACGCCTCCGGCTCAGTCGGTAAAACATGGCGCATCGTGCGTACACGAGTCAATTCGCTTCTAGACAGAAAATGCTAACAGTAAAGTAAGTACTACTCACAGGGAACAGTTATCATTGCACGAATGTGTGCTGAAAAATTGCATACATAAGTACGGGAGTACAACGGGTAACTACGCAAGGAGTGAAATGTCGACCACAGTTCACTCGGTCGGCAATATGGCACGGTGCACCCATTGCTTACTGTACTCCCTTAATGCATAGTGTACTATTGTTGCGTTTTATAAATACGCCTTATCTTGCAAAATATTTTTCTATTCAGTTGTTTGCCTCATTATGATTTACATTCGACGTTTGTCACATCCTGTACATATTGGGTTATTCAAAGCTTATACATTTAAAAAATATGTATAGATCTCATATATATGCATACATATGTAACACAAAATGACCATCTAAACACCTAACAATAAACAATGAAGCAGCCAACATTGAGAACACCGATAACTATGATACATTGTATGTTTATCATGGACTGAACTTTATATATAAGTTGGAGGATACAGTTATATATGACGCAATCTCATTATATTCTAATAAGTTTGATATATTTTGCGGGAAACGTACAATGGGAGGTATACATATTCATATTTAACAATTAGAAAATATATATAGTTGTGTTACACATGCATACTGGGTTATGTCGGTATGTAAGGCAGCCCTATAGATATTGTTTTACGCATACTGTATATCTATACGTTATAACAAAACACATAAATATCACGCGCCTTCTTCCTCACTTTTTCAGCAGTAGAAGTACCGACGTTGTAAAAAAATCGTCCCGTGGTAATTTTACTGCAAAATCAAATCTTTACATACGTAATTTTTAACAGGTATATCATGTTATTTGGTGAGTAGTACATGGACGACGAGTAAGCCTATCAACAAATTAGGACACATAACATCTATAAAATATATATGAACGAGTGAGTGTGTATTCTTTTGTCCTTACACATAATTCAGCCTCGGTTAGATTATACATCCACTTGCGTTCGTCCAAAAAATAAAAGCTCTCTTTCCCACATACATAAAACACAACTGTGAATGTATAAATATTTAATTATAAACGAAACAATCAATATAAACTACTTACATCAATTATATATCAATTATGATGGCCATGTGCAGACAGCATTAAGTAGTATATGAATATTTCAAGGACATAATAAGTATAACAATATACGACAACAGGACGGCATATCCATATCAATGTTCAATATATAAATATAATAGAGAATATGCAATTATATATAACGAGAATAGTAGTAAAGTGAGTTATAGAGACAAAGAAAGAGAGAGAGAGAGAGAGAGAGAGAGAGAGAGAGACACCGAACGTAAACAAAACAAATGAGAAAGGGGAATATTGTCATTAAGCCATTTTGTTTGGATTTATGTATAGAAACGTACCACCAAAACTCGAGCGAGCCTTGCGCTTGCTCAGTTCGGTTGACGCGGCCGCGCGACGGCTAGTTACATGATGTGACGTAGTGTCTCTCACGGCCGCCACATGGAGATATGGAGGTGTGCCGCCGGCGTCACCCGGCCAGCCGGTCGCCATGCGTCACACCCTGAAACAGAATCAACATCCTTCACCACCATCCTCTGTAACTCCTTTACCAGTATCCAACAACAACAACAGACACAGACAAATGGGGGATTTTCGATTGTTTTTTACTTTGTTCTCAATCACGATTTTCGGGTTGAAATCTGCAAACGTCAAAATATCATAGGTATGGTATGTTAATAGATATTTGAATGACTGTTCTTTACTTTTTCAGTGAGTATGTGCAGAATTCCGTTGAAAAGTACCGTATTTGGTCGGCGTGTTATCGAATTTTATATTGTGTGGATGTATTTGATTTTTATATTTTATCACGCTATGGTAAAAACATGATATTTCATAGTATTAATTAACAAATTAAAATTATAATATTAATTCTAAGTTCTAAATCAAATTCTATGGATCTATACTGGACCCGCAAAACTTCAATTAAATTCGTTTTCTTTAAAAATTCTCGTCCCCCTCTGAAAAAAAAAGAAAAACATGAAAAAACAATAAAAAATCATCTTTTTTTCATTAATTTTTGTACTACCATGGGTAACAAAGGGCGTCACAAGCACGCGAGACAATAAGCCTAGTTATTTTTTGGTGGAAAAAAGCTCGATTGGTATTTTTGCATAGAATTCCTAATATGTAAAAGTAGGATTTATGGTATGTGGTTACGTGTACAATATTTTTTGTGATCTACGTATAACTGTGATTACCAACAGCAGCAGCATATTTTTTGCAACCCCTTTTACACTTGGTTACGAGAAAAAACGCAGAAAAGCTCAATAGGACACGTACAAAAATAAAAGTTGTTAAGCCAAAGTACGATATATTTATTGTTATAGATAGTACGTTAGCTCTTCTCAATGTCAAGCGGCCTTTCAAAGTTTTCGGTGGCTTGATTTACGTTCAACTCTTTCCTCGCAAAAAGTTTACTCTCGGAAAACTTCGTGGGCCAAGAATTAAGAACAGATCTTTTAAGCGATCATCTTCAACACAAACGCACTCGGTTCGATATATTTTTTCGTGGAAAAAAAAAAAAAAAACCGTTTAATTGCAGAACAGACAGGAGGAAAATTGAATAAAAGTCCGGAAAAAAGGGAAGTGGTGGTGTAGACGATTAAACGAAAGCGATATCCGCTTCGATGATTATTCGGCGCGTTCTCGCGAGCCAACGAACATACACACATGCGCGTCGAAAATAATGCGAGAGAGAGACTCCGCCAAGCGTAACTAACTTCATAACGAATGATAATGCGAATCAATGGAACGCACTTCTCTCTCCCCATTCCAAACGTATATTTATTATATATTTTTTTAAATTAACTCTCTGCGCGCACTCGCAGTCTATTATTCGTTGCGTTCGACTGCAAAAAAGGCCAACGCATAGATATCCGTCCATTTGACTGAGTCAGCAGTCGGCTAAACTCTCTCTCTCTCTTGCTATAAAGTGCCGCGCTGTCCGACCCTTGCTCTGCGTGAAACTACGCGGGCGGCATGGTTACGTGTATACATCGACGAGTGTGTGCCAGGCCATTCTGGTAATACAATTTAGCGGTAAAATAGTCTGTACGCTCTTTTTCCTTTCAAACCCGTCTGGAACGAAGGTGTCAATTCTTTGACAAGATTATTTGGCTAATCCGAAGCGAATGGTCGAACGTTTTGGAACAAGTGCGCGAATAGTTCTGCTAGACTACGAGAGAAGAGGAGGGGGCTATGGCGCTAGTAAATTACCGGCGTTGACTAGGCCGGTGACAAGTGCAATGCGCACACACGGCACGCGTGTACACGCGTGTCCAGTAGCGTTGACGATACAACGCGTGTTCGCTATCCCTTGGCCTACTCGCTCTCGTGAGTTATTGTTGTAGCGCACACACGATTTCCTGATGTTTATCGCTGTCGAATTTGAGGCTCTGTTGAAAAGATTTTTCGGGCGCTGATTTATTTCTTTGTGTCTGAGCTGCCTCGCAATGTGCGAGTCAATGCCTAATTTTTTATCCAATCGGTTGAAAGTCGATACAGGCAAGCAAATGGCTAAAAATGGTTTGGAAATTCAATACGGAGCCGCGCACAATATGGCTGACCGTACGTTTTCTTTAAGGCCACTTTCCGGATAAATATTTATTTCTTGACGCGACGATACTTAACCGAGTCTAGAGCTTGGGGCAAAGACCGTCCCTCTTTGATATACCTATGTGCAGATATATGGGGTCTTGAGATGCAGATTTTATTGTTTGCAAGAGAACACAATTTATTAGAAAAATATTCCGTAAATACGCGCTGACAAATAAAATGCGGTATATATTTGCAGATTTCTTAGTCTCTCGTAGCAGAGAAAAAGTGGAGCGAGAGAATAGATCTGAAAAGAAGGGTCATTCGCACTCGAGGATTATCCTTAAATCGAGGCCAATAAATAACGTCGACAAGCAAATTCAAATGCAGCGGTATAATATTCTTCGCTGTCTCAGCAAAAAGAAAAAATATATACATATACAAGGACACGTAGAGCCGATATCTCAGCATTATCTGTTTCGACAGCGGCTGAAGCATAAACACGGCCATTGGGATAAAATCCCAGCCAGCCCTCTTCCCAATTTCGATGATCCTCCACACCGCTACGGGAAAAAGTGTCTCGCGAAAATTACTTTATAAAGATTTTGCCGAGCAGCGGCGACGATGAAATTGAAGGCGCGCGCGCAAATGAATTTCTCCTCTCTCTCTCTCTCTCTCTCTCTCTCTCTCTCTCTCTCTCTCTCTCTCTCTCTCTCTCTCTCTACTTTGAGGGGGTTCGAGCTCGCTTGGCCAACGTTAATTACGAGATTTGTTTATATTTCTGTTCGGATGCCCTGAGCACTCGCTCTGCTGAGAGATTCAAAAGGATTCGCTTCAGTACCATTCAATCGTCGGGATTCTCGTCTATGAATATGCAAAAAATATATAGATCGTGTGAGCATGTGCATTTGCAAAGGAGCTTCGTAATCTAGCGCGAATGTGTGCATAATCACTTTTACAGATATGCATAGATTAAACGCTCGTAGTCTCTGAATATAAAGCACTTGTTAACAAGCCAATATACAATGGTGCCAATCTCTCTTTTTCTAGAAAAGTTATTCCATTGAGTCAGCGGAACATGTGACTAGGCGAAATAAGCATCGTAACTTGGCAATTCTAAACACTAACCGTTTGCGTGGCCGCGCGCCGCCAGCCGACGTAATCCCGTAAAAAGCCGTCTCCCACGTATCGAAATTCCGGCGGAGGGCGCTCGAGCTTTCGCAGCCACGGCGACGCACGCGTGCGCTGGGAAAGTGCGCCTGGTAAAGAGCCTCGTGGCTTTCCGCGCGGCCAAACTCCATTTCCGGCCTCTTGTTCTTCGCTCGCCGATAACCGGAAATTGGCCCCCGAGAGCCGCGAATGAAGTCCACGGCGAGTGACGGCGCTGACGGAGGATTGGACTCGTCACCGGCCGGTTAATGCGATCCATCGAGGAAAAAAGTTAATCAACGGGCGAGCTGCAGCGGCGACTCGTAAAAGGCGACGGCGCGTGCGCGCGCGGATCATTCATTGAAAAGGCGGTGGCGGCGGCGGCGGCGGCGGCGGCAGCTCGTTAAAAGTTACGATCATTAAAAGTGCGCCGCTCGCCGCCTTGCACTTGCCCGTAATTGACGCAAACATTTCGTTCCGCGCGCACCTCTCACTCGCTCCCCCGCTCGGCCGAACTTTCGCTCCTCGCTGGCCCGCTCGCGTCCGTACGCTTCGTCTGCCATTGCTGACCGTCAGCCGGCTATCGACAGCGATGGCCCTTCCGCGCCAGCCAAACTCTGGCGCTGTCCTGCGCAGTGCTAATAAAAAGCATCGATAGCTGGAACGAAAAGTAACCTACTGGCGATATCCATGAAAGTTATAAAACAGAAGAGGCAGTTGTCAACAACAGCAGTCGGCGACGGCGTCGTCTCGAAAGGAGGCAATGAAACGGTTAACTAAATTGGCTACTGTCATGCCCAGCAGTAGCGGCAGGGTGCCCCTGGCCACTCGTGCGCGACTCCACTCGAGTGCAGCAGCGGCAATGCTCGAGATCCGGCGTCCTCGCTATATTTTTGACGCTCGCGCGCGCGCGTGTGTTGTGCGGCTCGCGCGATCGGCGAACGGGTCAACTGTCAACCGCAAAGGATACGGACGGTTTATACGCTGCTGGTCAGTTGTTGAGGACACTGCTACACTGCGCTACTCCTGCTCGTGTCGTTGTTGGCTGGTGCTTTTCCAAAACGCGGCTCTCGGTGTCCCAAATCAGACGTTTCTCGAGGTCAAAGGGGTCAGTTGCGAGCGTCGCCATTGCAGGTTGGAAGAAAAATGTGAAAGCGCGCGCGTAGGAAGGGAGGCTGCCTGGCTTTATTACAGAAAACGTAAGATACACGAGGTAACGATCAATGCGTAATCTGTAACAAGTAACAGTAATCACTTCAGTTCGTCGAGTGTACACCTCGCACGCAATCTCAAGGCGTCTGTTTCGTTTCACACAAGCCTCCATCCATTATAATTAGGTTGGCTCTGGGTGTAGCCAGTCGGCTGACACCTCGTGCCCTTAATCAAATCGTCGACTTTGCCATGAATCAGCCTGAAATTAACGTCGTTGATGTTTCTCGATTTGTTAATCGTCTTCTGCAATCTGTTGGTATTGAACCACACCTCTTCTTCGCCAGAGGCGTTCGTTAGCACTTTAATGCCGCTGACGTATTGCAAAGTTTCAGGATCCTGCGCCAAGACGACGACGTTCTCAGGAAGGAACGGTCGCTCGATATTCCAACACGCGAGTGCCGTGTAACCGGCCAATTGGAAGAACATCGCGCCGGTTTTTGATATCGCGTGGACACCTGCTTGACTTACTCGGCGCGCCACCGATTGATAAACTAGTGGTGGGCTTGTGTAGAGGCTGCGCTTCAACGAGTCCGTGTCGACGAACTTCTGGTAAAAGCTTGCCAGGGAGTTGAAGTAGAGATATCTGCAAAATTCAGCTTCGCGATTATCCAGAGACTTTGTACTTCAAGTTCTTTCTTAATTGTGCTGTGTGCGAAAGCGTCGTGATTTTAAGCTTGAGAGAAACCTAACTATCGCCGCGGTTTCAGAATTCCCGGCAAGCAAACTTTGGTCTTGTGTCGGTTATGCTTTCTTGTTTAATATTGATTATATTATATACCGGGGCAATCGATATGACAGAAAATAAAGAAAAAATTAATTACGCAAAGATAGCTTATCAAACTTTCGAGGAAATCCAAATGACTTGCTAGCGACACGCGCAAATGGCTGTTATAAAATCAAACTGGTTTATTATCAACAGCCCTGACGTTTACTTAGGCAAAGCAACGAAACTCGTTTGAGCTTATTTCGAGCGATAACACGAAAAAGCCAGGGTGGATTACGTGAATTGGCAAGGATGAAAATCGAAGAGGTATAGTGATCGCGAGCGCGTCAACGACCTCCTCAATCACGCAAAAAGCGTGTGCCGCGAGGATCGAGTTTCAGGGCGAATTATGCGCGGCGGCGTTGTGCCATGGCCTCGCGCCATGAAAGCAAACTATGCGGCACGTATATCGGACTTTTCGCTCGCGTTATGGTTCAACTTCGAAGGGATGCGCGCAGCGTGACCGTAAATTCGTTATTAGTTTCGCACTCCCGTATTTGGGACAAATTTTCCAATTACCGACACTTCGCGGCAGAGAAACTGGCGCAACGTATTCCCGCGGAGAAAAGTTTACGACGAGAGGCGCGGTTGGCGATCAGTTATTCCGATCACTGCGGTGCTTCTCGCGCCGGCGACCTGACGTAGAAACATCAATTGTCGCTGTATTGTGCTTGCCGCGGAGTATCATCAACCGTCAAGAATATATTTTAACAAAATTTTCCCGTTGCTCGCGGCAAAATTAACAATTCGTAAGTTCAACCGATTGCTACTTTCAATCGTAAATTTTTGCTGTTCAAATTTTTTACACGCGTCACGATCCACTTTACATTCAAGTAAAAGTTCTTCAGCTATGAATTAGAAAACAATGTATGCCTCAAGGTAAACACATTTCAAAATTGCAGCGTGCCGAATGACACGGAAACAAAATACCAATTAGTTTAATTACAAACCGTTCAGTCCGAGTAACTAAAGAGTTTCACGTACTGAAAACTTTGAAAATACCAAATTTACCAAAAAATGCGGCCCCAAAAGAAGGTCGCGTCGTTCAGTCAACGTATAATCTCTCAAGTTAAAGTCAGCCACAAAACGAAAGAAAGCACAACGGAAAAGAGATAAAAGTGCAATTGAATCGACACACCCACCTTTTCGAATAAAATCCACGTGGCGACAGTGCAACACCGAGCGTACCATCAGTCAAGTCAATGGGTTCGCCAGCAATGACAATCCTTCCAGCCTGAGGATCGTTGCCAAAAGCATTGCCTGGCGTATTGTCCAATCTCCATGACCGATTCTCACGAAGACTATACACCAGCAAACCATGCTTGATCACGTCGGCTACGTAAACGTAAGTATCTTGACAATTATCTCCAACTTCGACTACTGGATTGACGTACTGCGCTTTGCGACTGACTGTTTGATCTTCCGGTATGATGTATTTAAGCAGCACCTGATCTGTTTTCAAATCGAACGCCAACAATTTCATTGGGCATACTGATTGTCCACTCGCACTGCCAGTATCAACCATCCACAGGCGGTTACACTCGTCGATCTGTGTATCATTATCATTTTCGTTTAATTATTATAATTTTCGGCTCCCCGTGAGTTATTGCCTCGACTAGTTTTATTTATGTACCGTTGCGGTTTGTACACGCCGATTACTCACGTGCGCTCAAGTTCGCAGATTTATGGACGAATAATTCTAATTAGCCATTACAATTTTGATGTAACGTTAGTTATTTAGATCGAGGTCGCAAATAATGCTTGCCCTATTTATGACATACATATTATACAAGGAATGATTTATTTAAGAGCGAAAAAAATTGTTTATCTACTCTGTACTTACACAAGTTCCGCGATGCCGTGAGTAATATGCTAATGAAACATTTATACATTAGTTTTACATGAACAACCTCGCGTTAAATAAGCATCTGGAGTATTAATTAGCGTTTTCTTAGGCGCGCGCTCAAACTAACAACCGACTATTTCAAAATAACTCGGTGGGAGATGTGCGCGACTTTTTGCATAAATAACCGTTGCGGCGAGAAAGGCCTTCACTTTTCCTTCTTCTAATGATATTATCATTTAATTTTACAATTATCTCACGAGAAAAAACGCTTCTAAAGAATCTCGCAATGGCCTACATTCATCTCTTCTTTCATATCAAAGAGAAAAATCCACGACTGAAAAGTAGAAGGGCAGTCGTTGGAATCGAGCTTACGTAAAAAAAAGTGTATTACATAAATTTGGCAATAATGCGCTTACCGTGCCAATGTGAATGGAAAAAAGTTTCTGTGCTACCTGACATTCGGAACTTATATTCCAGACATACACATGCCATATTACGCAATTGAGAAAACCGGTTGCAACTCTAAATCGCGAGCAAAACAAATACACTCACGCAAACACGCCCACTATAATATATCGCGCGGCTCGTTGATCGCGTAAATGCCGCACGATTAATTCCATAGGTATACGTATTTCTAAATCCTATATTAGTTTATTACGAGCGATTATAATTTTACAACTTCGGAGATGAAAGTTTTATATAGTTAAATAATCGACTTGTTATTGTTTTGGCTTCTGAATTCTAGTTTTAATCGACTTGCGCGAGTGTACATTAAATTTTCTACTGCTGCTTCGTTTGAAAGTCATTATGTAAGCATACAAGACAATTATATTTAGAGTTTTTCGTTGTGCGGCTGAATATTCTTACAACCTATTAATTTTGACTCAACATCATTAACTGTCATGAATTGATTTAGCCGAAAGAGAAGTATATCAGTAAGTAAAATACGACATTCACACAGCTGTTGAAACAAAAAAATGCAATTCATAATTACCGCAACTCTGTAAACAGAAACCAGACTGTCGCAGTCAGCTCGATGCCAAGTCCAATCAGGGTAGGGCGTGAGCAAAGGCCCACCAAGACCCTTCAGATCAGTGATCACAGAAAGCGTAACAGGCGTACCTTCGAGCCATTGTGGACTGGTGACAAAAACTCTTCCTCTATTATCGATATCCACATCTTGAGACAATGGATTGCCAACAGTAAAATTCTTTCCCGTCAGTTGAACAGTCGGATGAACCCAATCGAGGAATTGCCATTGAAAAGCAACCTCTAGCCCAGTGATTTGTGGTCTTTGATTGTTGAAACCAGGGAAGATCACTTGTGGATTTTGCGGTGGAATTGGATTATTGAAAGCTGGTCGTCGCGGGGGAAACGAATCGACGAGAGGATTCTGGTTGATAGGAGCATTTTGAGGAAGCGAGTAGATCAATTGGTTTTGATTGGTATAAGTATTTATGATAGGATTCTGTTCGATAACCGACAGTTGAGAATTATTATTCCCTTGAAGTTGAGGATTAGCGTAAGCATATGCAAACTTATCGGCATTTGACAATTTAGCTTCGAGAAGTGGTTTGACAAGTGCGTTCTGGTAGATCGGGGATGCTTCCGATTGCGGTAAATTTGTAGGTATTGATGGTGACGTCAATTGGAAACTTCTGCTCAACGAGTTGACCAACGAATTCTGATTGACCGGTAAATTCTGCGACGAATCGATGGCATTCGATATCGACTGCGGCTTCAAACTGTTAACGTAAGTACTACTCGCGTATCTGTTGTTGTTCTTCGCAGCTTGCAGCAACGGTTTCACCAAGGAATTCTGATTGATCGGTCCATCTGTCGACAGGACATTTGGGAAGTCGTTGCGACGTACTTGCGAGTAACCGTTGATGTTCGCTAGTGGTGGCTGTGCTGTCGAAGTCGACTGGACGTACGAATTGGGATTGATTTGACACGGATTGTCCGCATAGTTACTACTCGCGTACGAGTTACTACTGATAGAGACTGCTTGTGGTGGCACGGTTATCACGAAATCTGGCTTTCGCGTCGACGACGGATGATAGCATAATGCTAACTTCAATAATTCTAGTAGCGCTAGTAGGATCAACATTTCTTTGGATTTGCACTGGTCGACGCGATCGTGATTACTGACTGCATGCCGCACAAAACTATACTACCACTGACTGTGGTAACAAGAGAAGAGGGAGGGGGGGGGGAGCTGGAGAAAGATATCGGGTGTATATAAACCTCTCTCCTCTTTCTCTCTCTCTCTCTCTCTCTCTCTCTTTCCAAGTACTCGTGTAGGTTTGGCCTTGCAAGATGCGTGTGGTATGTTACGTGAATTCTTTGTAACGATGGATGTTTAAACAGATGATGATTATACTTCGATAAGAATTTTCAATTTTTGAATTTGTTTTTCCTCGAAAAATTCTTGTCATGTGTTGAAAATTAGTGCGTTTTTCAAAGGACTAATTGTTTTCATTCAAAGCAATTTTTTCTCCGAGTTGACATTTGATTTGACAAATTTGACACATTCCTTATTTGACACCTTGATTTCTATCCAATTAAAAGAAATTTTCTAAGATTTAAATCACTGTAGCCAACAGTCTTGTGTATTAATTCTTCACCTCAGTATGCATACATACATACAGTATTTACATACATATTCCATAAATTTCTTTTTTCAAAAACACATACAAGCAATCAACTAGTATGTTGAACAAAATTAACTTTCAATTTCCGATTCCGAAATCGAATCTGAAATCCGCGTACGAGAAAACGGTAAGTAAGTTATTTAGCGCATTTCCGTATACACGTTCAAACACGCACACACGATTTCCGTATATCCTTCGCGTTGCTCTCTTTTCAGTTCAAATCTCTTCTATGTATACACACGTCCTGGACGCTGTATTTTCTTTGCACGCCATCAACATGGTTTTGTTTTCAAAGCGATAGACGCTTTGAAGGATAAAAGACAATGAAGTGTATGTGCATTTACAGACGTCGATTTAAATGCCGCGAATGAACTTGGAATTGATAACTAGGTTGAGTGTATCACAGCGTTTGTATATGATTGGCAAGAATAAAAAAATAATAATACTGTTTCTGATAAAGGCGTAAAAAGTTATTCGACCGAGTTACCGTAAAAAATCAGCGAGCGCGCGTGCATATGTCAGTTTGTCGAGTGGAGTAGTGCTAGCGGAAAAAGGAACTTTCAAACGATGATTTTTCAACACACGCACCCTGTCAGCATGTATGAGAGAGTGCATATAACACATCAGTCGTGTGCTGAGTCGAGATTAGGAGTGCACGCACGTTCTACTAAGTTACGCAAAACAAAAAAAAAATTATTCAGCGAGCTGGAAAAACTACGTACTCGTATAACGCCAGCTGCTCCCGTGCGTTTTCTTCTTGAATGATGTACATATGTTTCGTTGTTATTATTATTATCAATAAACTTACGTGCATCAAGAGTATGGTGTAAATAAGTATTGACAACTCACCTGTAACAAAAAAATAAATAAATAAAATTAAAAAATACGTTAATTGCGGAATTTACAATCGTATATGTAACATTTCAAGTACGATACACGCGTAACTGGAAGTGTTACATTTGTCCCGTATGAAAAAAACGTAAATATGCTTCGCTGCACACATTTACACGAATGCATATTGGCAGTGGAAAATATTTTGAAAGTAATCGGAACTCCTTGTACTCTGTTTTTTAACTAACATAATTATTTCTTTTCGGAGTAGCGAAACCTTAATTTTTATTGCCTTTAGATTTACTTACAATTAGATATACTTGGAGCATCACTATACTTCCAGTAGCAGTTTAGACTTGTCCAATACTATTATTGTAAGTGCAAATAAACACCAAATAGATATTTTTTTTTTCATTCTGCGTGTTGTTGGTTCGCACGGTTTTCATTTCGTGAGATTTGTTGTACGAGTCGTGCAATTTGGCTGTACCGAAACGAATATTCATTAGGAGACTAATAAAATTCAAACAATATGGTAACATAATTATCATTTATTTTTAATGTTTCCTTGGTTGATTGTAATACATCGTTTGATAAATGAGATATTTCACGAACGCTAATTAGCTCAGCAAAAAACCTTGTCCACTTTTACTTTCTTGGAAAAACTTGCAAGATTTACAGTCTCACATCGTATTCTATTTTTTGTCGTTCTTTCCTTTATAAATAATAATTATCTCACGATAGTTGGCGCGTTGAAAAAAATTAGGTCATAATTATCTTTTTACCGCACAAATATATCTCTGCGCATTTATTTTTCCTTTCACATACTCGATTGGACTACGATGACCATAAATAAATAATACATTTTTAACGTGAACAATCCTAATCGTCAAGTCATGACATAAAGAAATTTGAAGAACTTTTTTCAAATTAAAAAAAACCTAAAGTAAAAATACTGTATGTCAGTTCAATCGAAGAAAAGGAAATTCATTTTAAATTCATTTGGGTGATTTATATAGTGATCGTAATGTGATGGAAAATACTTAGAAGATAACAGAAATATACGACAATATGATATGATTTCTTTGTGTACACTCGAATTATAAAGTAGTCATTCATCATAGGGATAATTCTGTCGAGTAAATTTCCAGTTTGAAAAAACACGCTATCGATTATGTCGACTGCGTATCTCAGCTCCTAATAAATATGGTCAAAACGCTGCACAGCGTATTAACCAACTTACTCAACATCACTAAAAGCTTCAACTCACCGAGAAGAAATACAGTGGTGAGAATCGAGCAGAAAAGCCGCGAGCCGTTGGTTTCGTCAAAATTAAAAAAGCGGCCAACTAATGCGAAGCTGTAAACGTCACAGGCATCAACAATGAGAGAGAAAGAGAAAGCACGTCGTGGCTATAACGCGATGCGTAAATATTCGGCGCGTGTTGCGACGGCTGCGCGCACAATTCCGCGTACATGCAAATGCTTGCGCGCGCTCTCGTCACGGGCGCACATACACGCGGATACGGGCGAAATCAGCTCGCCGGAAAAACGTGAAAATTTACGGCCGAGGAAGGGGCAGAGCGCCGCCGACGCCGTCGTGTAATTACAGGAACGCGCGACCAGCTGTTCACGTGGAAATCGTCGTCGCGTTTATTTTTTTTTCAGTCGGTGTAGCTTTGGTTTTTTGTCTGGCCGCGCCAAATAATTAGTCGGCTATGCCTCTCTGTTTTTATTTTTGGCGCGTCGGCGTTCTCTATGTTTTTCTTCTCGTTCGTTTCGTTACCGACGCGCGTTATCCCTTGGTTTGCGCGCGCAGCAAACTCCGATAAACACGTATCCCAAACGTCAAAGCAGAAGCGAAGAAACGCGAGCAGTCAGCCGTTGCGAATCGGATTTGAAATTCGTATGAACGGCCTCATTACGGCGCGCGGCCATACGTCTGAGGCACAAGCCACTGGCCGCGAGAGTTTCCGCAGGCAGTTCGCACACGCGCGCACTCGCGACGCCGCGTCGGTGCACGCAATGCCATTTCTGCGCTCGATGCACTTTCGGTTTCGAGCTAAGCGCGCCCATAGTGAGTGGAAGGTTGCGGCTCGAAAGGATGCTTCATCGGCGAGCCTGCGAGAGCGTGGACTTGAGCTGTTAATTAAAGAAACACACGGACCGAGATGAGCACTGCGGCTCACGCGAGCACTTTGTTGCAGCGGCGTCACGTTGTTAAAGAGTGTGGCGAGGAAAAGCAGCAGTTGACTTTGTGTTTGTGGAGGTGTGAAGCAAACGGGAATGGCGTCAGAAGCAGGCTCGTCGCGACTAACAAGCGCGCTATTTAATAATGCTGGGTCGTGTTTGTTTCGCAATTAGAGAGTAATTGTGCTGCTGAAAACGAGCCAAAAGAAGTAGAGAGGGAAGTAGAGAGGAGCAGAAAAGCATATTATCAGGCGCGCGATGAAAAGTGTCGAGAGTAGAATGACCCAACGTTTACGTTAAGATGATGGAGCTGTGGAATATCCGTGCAATGGCAGGGGTAACTGAATGGCCTGATACGAAAACATTCCCAAACAAGGCGTCGGCCCAAGAAAAAGGCGAAGAAAGCTCTTGGCTGAGGAAAAAAACGCGATCAGGAAGAAGAGGCAGCACGAGGCAGGCCAGAAGGAGAGCAGAGCGACGAGGGCTGTACGTGTGTGCGCGCAAGTGGGCACTTCTCCGAGAGGTCGGCCGTTCGTTATTCACCTCCCTTCGGCGGAACTTTAGGCAACTGCCATTGCGCGCAAGCGAGCAGGGGCCACGCGATTTTCTATATCGAGAGGAGAAACAGTTCTTCTTAAACTGAGTTTGGTAAACCCCCTTCCTACTCGCCGGCCTCCCACGCCACTACCACCGAGACGCTGCTGCTGCGCCGCTGCTGCTCAAAGTTGCCGCACGCGTGAAACTTGCCGAAGTCAATTTTGTCGAGTTGGTAATGCGATTTGTGCCGGAATAAATAGTTGCCGACTGAAAGAGAGACAGGTAGACGGACTTTTCCGTGACTGAGCAGCATTTTCTACCGTTCGACGCCTCCCGCTTTCCCTTCCTTCCTTTCTGCGTGGCTGCCGCGGCGCAGTCGGCCACTTTTTTCTTCCTCCAATTGTCGACAATGATTACAAATTGACACCTGCTGGCCGGGCGCGCATCCCAGTATTTCGCCTCGTTCAATGCGAATCCGCCGTAGGAACCCGCCCGAAGCTCTTCGTTCTTTTTCCACTTAACGCCGCGCTTTCAAAGCTGTATTTTCCAATTCTCGTAGCACCATTCAACGCTCGTCGACTAACGCACAAACAAAAGACTACATTTTGCACTTCACTTCGTGGTCGCAAAAGTCCAAACCAGTACAGCCAGCGCAACGGAGAAATGAAAACAAAAAATGAAAACAAAAGGAAAAAATCAGATAAAGAAATTCAATCTTTCCGGCAGCACCGTAGAGCTCTTTGAGCCGAAACTTCCGCAAAGTTAGCGCCCATGAGAGCTTTTTGCGGCGGCAAAAATTAACTCAGCGACGAGGAACAAAAAAAGGATAGAGAGAGAGAGAGAGAGAGAGAGAGAGAGAGAGAAAGAGAGAAGCCACAGGAGAGTGGAGGCAGAAATTTCGGCAATGCGCGTACGTTTAATTTCGCCGCAGATTTGGCGCAAATCTCTCGCGGGCCGAAATTACTCAGTCTAAGCGGCTGATGGGGGAGAAGCTTAGCTCTCACATACACTAGCGTGATAATAAAACGCGCCTCGTAGTTTTTCCATTTTCTTCTTTTTTTTTTTGTTAGCCAGCGGAACTGCCGAAATATTAACAACTCCATTAGGTACATTATCCAAAACAGCCAAAGCCCTCTACGCCTCTCTTCTAAATCCTTTGAAAAGCTTCTAATTCGAGCGCTAACACATTCGCATTAATGTTGAGGGCATTCTTCATTTTCAAGACAAACTGTTTGTTTTAGTCAAAGAACGCGTCGCGCTAACGATTCGACATTGAAAATTCTATTCGAAACATTCAATTGAACTTTCTCTAATCTTTCTCGAGTAAATGATAAACAATTAACAATGCAATTTTTTAGTTAGATTATTCGTAGAGCGAAGAAGCTAGCTCACGGTAATACTTCGAACTGAACGCAAGCAAAGTCTGGGATTATAGAAGCACGCGAGATAAACGTAGAGCCAAATCGCAATAATTCGATCTACCTTCTTTTCCACAAAGTTTTCCGAAAAAGGAAATGTCATTCATTCAATTTAAATTGGTCGAAGAACGTGAAATAACAATGCCCAGAAGCCATTCAATTTTTAGCTCGATCCCACGTATGCAGCAAATAGTCATTAAAAAATAACGAGGAGAAAGCTAAGCATCCGAAGAAGCAAGCCGCCCGGCACACATTAAAAATTGTGCACGTGCGAGAGTCGCGCGAGACGAAGGGAGGGAGGCAAGAAAAATAGTCGCTCCTACGGGACACAGAAGAGACATTCTGGCGGGCAGGGCTAGGGCACTCTCGATAATTACGCCAGCAAGCTCCTCTGCACTTTGGCTGCACTTTTTTTTATATCCAGCCACTGACAGAGGCAGCGGAAAAAAGCCTCGACGTATCTCTCAAGCGAGATTTCGTATGCCATTGTCGTCGGCTTATTGTGTTTTTTCCTTTTTCTTTTTGCGTTTTCTAGGTGTCGCTGCTCGCTAGTTTTTCAATCTCTTCAATGTCGTTACTGCCGCTTCAAATTGTCGTCGGCCGACAATTTTTCTCTGTGCACTGTCGACGTACGCTGTAAAATGTCGAGTTGGTGCGAAGCAGTCGAAACGCTCAATAATATCAAATACCTCGTCGGGCAAACAATGACACAAGCATTCCTCCGGCAGCTGCGCAAAGCGACAATTGCAGTATTGACACCGTTTGCGCATTAGGCCGAAGCTCGCGCGGACGATTACACACACACACACATACACACACACACAACGTGTTTCAATAGAGGCCAAAGAAAACAATGCCGAGCGCAGCTTCTCCATTGAACCTTTAGAAAAAAGAAGTCGTCAAGGATGAGAACAGAGTAAAATTTATGATGCTCGCTATATAGATCCAGTGGACCAAAGGCCTACTTTTATGACGGAACTTATTTTTACACGTCCATCGAATATATCTGATTCCTCGCGAGCGATGAAAAAAGAATCTCAAGCCTCTAATTAAATTTTCAACAGCTTGAGGAGAGAAAAAAGGGCCGGCGCCGCTTGTTTCTTTTATCTTGTCGTTGCGATCGTCAATTTAAAGTTCGTTATAGGCTTTTGCGATAACGGGTTTCGATGAAGCTGAGAAAAAACGAGCAGCACTACC